TCTCTAAGTCCTTCGTCGGGTTGCGGTTGCGCAGACCAGGATAGGCCCTCCAAGGGCAGCCTGGCTGCCCCTCTGCCCCTCTCCTCCCGCAGTCCCGTGAGCCCGAACGGACAGCTGCAAATAATGTCGCCAGCCGCACTGGTAACCGCCGCGCTTCGCCAGCATGGGGCCCGAGGGCCGGGCGGCCGCACAGCCGACAGGAGGGGGGGGTTCGCGCTGATGGGCCCTTGCCCCGCCTCTCTCACGGCAGGAGTGACATGGCCGCCCCCCTGCGAGGCACTCGGGCCCTCCAGCTCACTCTGGCCCTGATCAAGCCTGACGCGGTCGCTCACCCACTGATTCTGGAGGTAAGAACGAATCCAGAGCCTCTCCTGCACGCCTTGGGCGTTGCTTCCGCGTCAGGAGCTCCAGGGCCACTCGGGAAGCATTGCAATTCTCTGCTATTCCTGAATGCACCCATTTTTGCTGGTAAGATAGCCGTTTGGATTTTAGGGTTAACAGATTGCTGGCAGCACTCGGCTCCTGAGGTACAGGACTGAGGTTCCCATGTCCTTGCTGGCCCTCAGGCAGGGACTGCTCTCACCTTTTAGAGACCACTCAGGTTCCTCGCCGCACGGCCCATTCCATCTTCAAACGGCAGCAGTCCATCAAATGCTCCTCTTGACTAAGTGTGACCCCTGTAGCCCCCAGCCAGACAAAACTCTGCTTCTAAAGAGCTCATGTGATTAATTTAGGACTGTCTGGAAAATTTCCCTTTTAACTAAAGCAAAGTCAACTGATAGCAACCTTAATAACACACACAAAGTCCCTCTGCCGTGAATGAAATAAGATACTATTGCATCATATTCACCGTCCTGGAGACGGGGGTGCAGAGTCTTGGTGGGGCTGGGTGAGGACAGTTGTAGGGTTCTGCCCGCATCTGTTTGGTAGTGCTGGCTGAGCACCTCCGCTCAGTAAGCCCACTGTGGTGCAGAGGGAGACCAGGGCATCTGGGAGTGGTGGCCTGCGAGCATTGTAACTCCCAGGCTCCAAAGGAAGGGTGGACTTTGGTCAGTGCACAGAACCAGGGCAGGTGCCCTGCAGGACGGAGTTGCTGAGCAGGAATGTGTGCCGTGGGTCTGAGGGCCGCAGGTGGGCTGGGCTGCTGGGACCACAGAATGGGAAGAGGGGTGGAGGCAGTGCAGCCTCCAGCACTGGACTACGGTGGCGGCGCCTCAGTCCGAGAATAATCATGACACTCAAAGGCCTCTGACCAGAGCATGACACACATCCTAGTGTTCTTGATCCGTCAAGTGTGCTGGCTTGGAGAACAGGAGGCACTCAAGGCAAGACCACTGTGCGGAGATTCTTAACGGCGGTCTGCGAGGCAGGACCTGGGGGCTCAAGTTCAGGGGCAGTGGAGAGGGAGGCGCAGTGCAGCGGTCGTGGCCTCCATCCAGGCTCACACTCTGGCTGTGGGACAGGCGTCTACTTCACTCCTTTTCCAATGCACCAGCGGGTTGGACCTTGAGGTCCTGGCGCTCCTGGGCCCTCATGGTTTTTGGCCAGCCTGGTCTCCTTTTATTCAAAGGGGCCCTGTGACTGATTGTTGTCTTGGGGTGGTGTTTACTCAGGCTGTTCACCAGCAGATTCTGAGCAACAAGTTCCTTATTGTACGAATGAGAGAACTTCTGTGGAGTAGAGAAGATTGCCAGAAGTTTTACCAAGAACATGAAGGTAGGATAAGTCCTCTGGATGGGAGGCTTCTCTGTCCCAAGAGGTGTGCAAGACAGGTGTCACCTGGACACGTGATGGCAGGCTCTCTCCATCCTGCCCACTGTAAAACTGTAGCCAGTCTCCTAAAGTCTGGGTTTATACACACACTTCCCCTGACGTTCACTCTTTTCTTAGTGTCTCCTAGGGAAGCTTTACGTCTACCAGAAACTTGGCTTTATGTCTGGTAATATCAGCAGTACAGTCAGCAAAGGTCTGCTCTGTCAGACATTGCCAGATGCTCAGGGTTCCTATAAATCTCCCAGCAAGCCCTGGGAGGTAGCGTAGTTATGACTAGGAAACTGAGTTAGAGAAGCAAATGCCTTACCTGAAGCAGCCCAGTTTGTGAGTGGCAGAACCTGGGTCCAGGCCCACGTCTGTGACCCTGCAGGGTCCCTACATTTTTCTCTGAAACAGATTTTATCCAAGTAAGGAAGCAGTGCAGCAACATTTTGATGAAGGCTCTCTCTTTGCAGGGCGCTTTTTCTATCAGCGGCTGGTGGAGTTCATGGCCAGGTACCTTTCATTTTGGCTCCGGCGTCTGACCACTAGACATGCCTCCCCTGCCCCAAAAAGATCTGTTAGTTCCATTTGCCACTTGTAACGTCATAACCAGTGTCTGAACTTCAAGTGTCTGAAGAAACATAGACCCAGGGCTCTGTCTGGGCCAACACTGGCCTGGCAGCCGCCTGTCCCATGGTGTTGTCAGAAAGCATTGTTGAGCGCTGCCCCCTCTGCTGATCTGTGGCTTTGCGTGTGCATCAGCAGTGGCCCTCTGTCACCTAAGGTTCTAGTGGAAGCAGTGCTGGCACTCAGCTCCAAAGGCAGGAAGCCCTCAGTATGCACAGGGTGCCCCCCTAGACCGGACAGCCAGATTCCTGATTGCCCTTGTTCACAGTGGGCCAATCCGAGCCTACATCCTCGCCCACATGGACGCCATCCAGCTCTGGCGGACACTGATGGGACCCACCAGAGTGTTTCGAGCTCGCCATGTGGCGCCAGATTCGATTCGTGGGAGTCTGGGCCTCACTGACACCCGCAACACAACTCACGGCTCTGGTGAGTCTGCCTCCTGTGTCCGCAGCTGCAGGCAAGGGCAGGGGCTTGGGGCAGAGTGCCAGGACCCCCAGGTCGCTGTCTTCCCAGTTGTGTCCCTGGCCCTTGTGGCCATCCCGGCAGATGCGGCCCCAGGACTGATGGGCAGGTAGGGGAAGGAGCTGTTCCGGTTTCTGGGCCTGCCCGTGACGCCCCGTGGGAACCCCTCTCTTTGTTACCCCCCTGCAGACTCTGTGGCCTCAGCCAGGAGGGAAATCGCCGCCTTCTTCCCTGACTTCAGCGAGCGGCGCTGGTACGAGGAGGAGGAGCCCCAGTGGCGCTGCGGCCCTGTGCACTACAGCCCCGGGGCGGGCACCCACCGCGCAGCGGGCCGGGTGGCCCGGGGCCAGCCGGGCGCACACCTGCCGGGCTCTGAGGACTGGGGCCATTGAGGCCTCCCCTGTAGGCCCCCGGCCCAGGGTGCTGGCCCAGGACCAGGAGGCCCACGGCTCGGGGCACTGCCGGCCCCAGGACCTCGCTCCGTACTGCCGCCTCCTTCGGAATCTAGATGTCTACCTCCTCTCTGGCACGTTCACGGGTGGTTCAGAGAAACGATGGTCCGCCCTTCCTGGAGCAGCCTGCCTAGCTGACGCCTGGAAGAGCGGTGTCTGCTTCTCCGTCAGTGAGTCAGCTCCCTCTCCATCCTCCCGGGTCCTGAGCCCGGGCCTCTGGTCTGAGTGAAGAGAGAACCGAGTCGAGAGCCCCCAGAAGGTCCACACACAGTGGTGCTCGTGCAGGGCCAGCGACAGGCCTGAGTGTGGGCTCCAGCAGTGCTGGGAGCCGGGCCAGGGCTCGCCCAGGGGAAAGGGCGCCTTTCATTTGAACAAAGGTGTGTCTGCCCGGTAAAGGCACATTTTTATGCCTCACTGTTATTCTGATCTGCAGAGGTCCGCCAGAGGTGGCCAAGTCTCTCTTGTTGGAGAGGATGACTGGTGCCTATTACCTCGTTACACATTACCTCACGATTTAGTGGCTTAAACAATGACTTACCTCACGTGTCTGGCCAGGTGATTTTGCTGGTCTCACGTGGACTCGCCCATGGCTGATTCAGCAGATGTGTCCAGTGCAGTCTTTCATCCTGAGTCGCTTGCTGGCTTTTCCCAGGCTCCGAGAGGGCAGCCCCTGCCCAGGCTTATCAAGCTTCTGCCGCTCATCCCATTGGTCTTAGCAAGTCACACGGCCAGCCCAGTGTCTGTGTGGGAAGGGGCTGCTCACGGCGTGGATCCCAGGAGTCAGTCATGAGGCCATTGACAGCCTACTGCACGGGGACTGGTGGGGACCCTTGAATTTACATAGAACTTACAGAAATAAATACTTAAACAAGCCAACTAGGGAGGTGAATATAGAATGTGCGTGTATTCAGGCAGCTGGAGATCGTAATAGGATCCATGGATAAATGAAGAATCATACTGTGCTTCTGGACAGGGTCAGTTACCCTGCAAGCTGGTCCGTTCCTTCCACATTAAGTAAACTCAGTGCAAGACCAGTCAAAACCACAGCAAAGTTTTGTGGACCTACATAATCCTAAAATTCTTCTCTTAAAGAAATTACATAATAGCTAATAAATTTATGAAAATAAAGAATAAAAAGAAAGACTTGTCTTCTAAAATATAGCTACTCACTATTAAGCCACAGTAAATAAAACATGGAGCATTTTCTGAGCAGTAGACAGACGTGGAACGGCACGGCTGATCCAGAGGAAATGCAGATGTTAGCGCCTTTCACCGACATGTTTTGGAGAGGAAGTCGAGGGGAAGCTCAGCTTGGGACCGTGCCGGCCCGCTCTCGCCAGGTCATACAGAAGCTGGGACAGGTGAAGGCCCACTTCCTTGCCCCACTACCCTCTTTGTGCAGGTGTTGACCTGACGCTGCCTACCAGTGCAGGTGGTGTGTAACCCCGGTGAGGAGCGCACAGTAGGCCCCTGCAGTGGGCTGTGTTCCAGGTACTGGCTTTCCCTCTTCAAGAGTTGAACTTCCCTGCCGACACGAGGCGCAGCACTGACTTCTCTCACCTGGTGATGTGGGTGGCAATGGCATCTCTGCTAACTCCAGGAGCCATAGTGTGATCACTTCTCTGTCTTTGCCCTCTTGTCTAAGCGCTACTTGCCCCGCACAGGGTCCACTTCCTAGCCCTTGGTCGTGGACCGAGAGGCGACAAAGTAGAGGCAAAGCCCACCCGGTGCGGGTTCCCTGGGGAGAGGGTTAGGCGGCAGCCGTTAGATCTCCGTGCAGACTTCAGGCCATTTGCTGCTTCACGTACCAGCCCACGCCGAACCCGGCTCCTTCCAGAACTGCCGGCAGCAGAGGCCGGTATTGACGGAGGAGGGCCAGCACCCCAGTGCTGCTCTGCTGGATCCATCGCGACCGAGCCGGGACATGAATGCTGCTGCAGACTCCCTCTCGAGGGACGGGGAGGTCCGGTCACGCTTACAGGATCACAGCGTCCCGGTGGCAGAGCTGGGCCCAGAGCCAGTCTCCAGTGCCACAGCAGCTTTGCTTACTCGCTGCCTCAGGAGTTGCCTCCAGAGTCAACGACTGGGTGAAAAAGCAAAGCAAAGCACGGTAAGCGCACGTGCGGGGCTCACTGGAGAAGCTGGGCCCTTCAGTGCCAGGGAGAGGGTCGCCGCCAGCCGAGGCAAACTGGGTCAGGCTCTTGTAATGCCTCCACACATCTAAGTGGCTAAGAGCAGTCAAGGTGTTTCCCCTTGCCCGTGCTGCAGGTCGGTGACCGTGGCCATGCGTGCGGCCGGACAGCAGAGGAAGAGGGGTAGAGGATGGGTAGTGGCCTGGTGGGTGGTCGGGCAGATGTGGCGCCTCACATCAATGAGGAGACCGTGCCTCAGTGTCTGGCGGGAGCAAACTGCCATCTACACAGTACCTGTTGTGATTGCAAACAAAAGCTGGCTTCTAAAACAGACTCTTTGCCTTGGTAGAGAATGCGTCTCTGCAGAGGGTGGGCAAGGTGTGCACCCCTGCATATCACCCCAGTCACCATCATGTCCTTGACCTTCTCTACAGGCAAGCCGCCCAAGGAAGGCACCTGGTGGCGAGGGAAGGGCGCCGAAAAGGTATTCCGCAGGAAACCTGCAGAAACATACAACGGGCTAGAATTACAGAACCTTGGTACAGATGCCAGCTCCTCCAGGAAGCCCTCCTGGGAGCCTGGAGGAGGCTTGGGCATTTGCAGGGCCACGCGAGCACCACAGCACCATCCACGCATGTAAGTTTAAAGTGCCTAGCAGCTACCCTGAGAAGTTCTTAAAAAAAGAAGTTAATTTTAACACCATTTAATCCAACATACCTAAAATAATGCCATTTCAACACATAACCAATATCAAAAAAGTTACCAGTAGTTTATATGCTTTTTTTCCCAACCAGCTCTTCAAAGTCAGGTGTGTATGTGACACAGCATGTCTCCATGTCTCAATAACCTTGAATTTTCAGAGGTTAAAGGGAAACATCATCTCACCAAAACAACCTGCATCTGAAGGGGAGATATTGTGGACTTCAGGACCTAGTTGCGAATTAGTCAAAGGAAGTAAAATCAGGACTTAGGTCCTCAGATGCACTTGCCCCAGGCACTCCCAGGGGCCTATGGTGGGGAGAACTGGGTGGAGGGTGGGCAGTGAGGGGCATGGCTGGGGCGTCCTGGCGGCCATGTGCTGGGCGTGTCACTAGGCCTTACTTCGGGGCCCACTCCTGATTGCAGGAGGCCCCCCATGCCCTGTGGTGGTATGTCACGGCTGTGGTCCTTACGTGGCTTGATTAACTCGTGGATTCCGTTGACATTTATGCTAGAACAGCCCTTTTCCTGGGGCATCCACGTGAGGTGGTTGGGCTGTGGGTCCTGTGCAGTCCACACAAAGACTGACTGCGTCACTGTGTCGTCCTGCGGCCAACCACCAGACCACGGGGCAGTCTGTCGTCTCCTGCCTGCGATCCCGTGAAAAATGTAATGAGCTGCTGGCCTTTCCCCAGTGGGAGCACGCCTTCCAGTCAGAAGTCCTCCTCATACCTGAAACGCATCTCCGCATGCCCTCAGCAGGGTCAGCGCCCGGTGTGTGGGTGTCCTTCTGATGAAGCAGTGAGCTCTGGGGGCCATGGCACCTGGGGACCGGGAAAGCCACCAGCACCGCCGCCAGCCTGGCATGGATCCGGGCCGAGCCCCACGGGGGCTTCCTGCTGCACGTCAGGCCAGGGCAGTGTTTAAGGAGCCACCCGTTTGGCACAGGAACACGCACTTTCTGAAGAGTAGCGATATTTCTCTGGTTGCCAGAGGGATCCAGTTTTGTGAATCCACCCACATCGTTTCAAGAAACTTTATTTGACAAGCAAGCCTCTGAGTTTTGTTGGGATTTTCAGTCACTCCTGATAATGAGGTAGAGGCATTAAGATGGCAACCACAGCTTGCCAGTCACTGCACAGGAAACCACTCCGGGCTTAGCACAGTCGGAAGGCTCCTGCACCACGGGTGGAAGGGGTCTGTCATCCGAATACAGATGCAATTACAGGTGCATGCTGTGCACCCCAGGACAAATGGTTAAAAACAGTTTAAAGGACGCATAAGTAGCCAAAAGTGAACATGAAGCATAATCATAAAATCTGCCCAAAGGCTGCAAAGGAGAGAGGGAAAAATAAAGCACGAACTGAATGACTAAGAAACAGCCACGAGCTGTCAGGTTCCAATCCAGACGTGTCTCTGATCCAGTAACGGGCAGGGGTCCAGTTTGTGTCTGATGTTTGCGCACTGGGGCCTGGCTCCTGGGGTTGGGGGTGCCAAGCCCCCCCAAGCACAGTTTTCATATGCAGATAGCCTGGCCTTGTGCCCCAGAGCTGGCAGCACCAGCTTGGGACCCTGCTCCCCAAGCAGACCCGAAATGTCATCCCCCCGCCGACCCTGCCTTTATTCCTCCCAGAAAAACCCTAAGACAGCTTTCCTGTGGTCTGTCTGTGCCTGCGCCCCAGTGTTGTGAGGCACGGCCCCTCCCCTCAGGAACTGCGCGAATAAACGGCCTCTAATGGCGGCAGCGTCCTGATCTCACCATACTGAACAAAATCAAGATCCTGGGTGCGTTTTAAGATGAAAGGTTGAGGGTGGCCCGGGACCCTGGAGGACCCCTCCCCACCATGCAGGCTGCTGGTTGATGTCCTCTGCTGGCATGCCAGGCCTCCCGGTCCTGCTCGGACTGCTCCGCGCTGTGCCCTGAGAGGGACCCAGACTGGCTCTGTCTTGAGCCCCTTGTTCTGTGATTCAGATCCAGCCCCTTGTGAGGCCCTTCATCTTCCGTATCAGCCGGGTCACCCCAACCCCCTAAGTGGGCTGTCATTCTTGATGTGCAGATGGGTGGACAGGCCTGGAAAGATCAGCTCACCTGTTCGGGGCTGCACAGGTGGAAGAGCAACCACCCTGCACCTCTTCTGCCCCTGGAGGCTGACCGGGAGTGCCCTGGCCCCTTCTGGGGAGCCCCCAGCCTAAGTCTTGAGACCTCAGTGGCAGGCATCCAGGGCGGGGTCTCCAAGGGGCCCACCCTCAGTGCCGCCCCTCCTCGTGACCTCCCACTCTCTCCTCTGCCCTCTGTGCTTGCCATCTGTGCCCCAACCCCTGCCAGCAGCCTTCACATCTGCGTAAACAATGGGAGCCACTCAGGGCCATCTCCGGGAGCCTCGGCCTCTCAGGCACTCCTCACCCTCTGCAGCCCCCAGTGCCCCTGGCTTACAGGACCCTGTGCCCACTGTGGCCCTGCGCCAGCACTTGGGAGCCTCTCTGGCTTTGCTCTGTTGGCCTCCACATCAGGCCTGGCACCTGCCACCCCCCGGGATTGCTGGCTGGGTGCTGCAGAGCCCCTGTGCTGCGGGCTGCAATTCTCTAGAAGCAGGGCCTGAGGTTGGGATGTGGAGGCACATGATTTAGGGTGGCAGTCTCAGGAGGGGCAGAGGAGGGTGCCAGCAAGGGTGTGGTCCGCCCTGAGAATGGCTCCAGCCAGAGGCCCCAAAAGCCATGGAACCGAATGGCACCCCTCCTCTGGTCCTGGCTTGAGGCAAGGCGCTGGGCCTTTGCACTGGTGAGTCGCCACCCGCAGGCACTCCTGGGCGTACTGGAAGGGACCATAAGCCACTGGCAGGCACCTCCAGCCCGACAGGTGGTGGACAGCCCCAGGAAGGGGCTCTGGCCCAGCCCTGGTGGCATCCAGTCCCCAGGGCACACGTTCCAGTGCATGTCAGAGCCAAGTCATCCAGACCGACCTTGTCACCTCCCCATGCACGGGCTCATCTCTGACCAATGCCAGGAACCTGGCAGTCCGTGGTCATACTCAGGCAGTGCCACATTGCCCAGCTGGCAGGGTCCACCTCCACAGTGACTGTCAGCCTCTGGGAGAGCCTGCCTTCCATTCTCCCTCCCCTCCTCTTGGTCCCTGCCCTGGGGACAGGTCTTTGCTGGCCTCCCTCACTGTCCACCCCTCCTAAACACACACACACACTGGAGCCAGGGCGGTGTGGCCAAGACAGGTGAAGGACCTGGTGTCCACCTGCCGACACCTCGCTTGCTCCTGACCGTGCATCTCTCCGGCCCCGCACCACCCCCTCCCCTGCTGGCCTGCCCAGCGCTGAGCTGGTGTCATTCCTCGCGCCTGCCTGCCCACTGCAGTGCCTGTGTGGAGGCAGTTTCCTCCCCACGCTGGGCCTCGGTCCCCCCTTTGCATTCCTATGTGTGGGCACCGCCTACCTGCAGAGCTCACCACCCAGAGCTGTACTGTCAGCGGGAACTGACAGGCCTGGGGAGTGTGGCCTGAGCTCCAGGACCATTTCAAGGTCTAAGGTTTGTTCTCATGGATGAGAAAGCCTGGAGGCCAAACAGAAGACCTGCCAGTCTTCGTGTTAGGCACTGACAAGGCTCACAGACTTCCCTGGGGGGCAGCTGCAGTTCCCTGATCAAGGGCTGGGACAGAAAAATACAAGCATCCATTGCCTTTCTGTTCACGTGTGCATGCTGGCAGCCTGTCCCGGGCGAGGGGCAGCCGGCCAGCCCCACACAGAATATCTAAGGATAAGGCCGGACTGCAGAGTAAGGGGGTTGCTGTGGCAGCCCGACAGGCCATCCTAGGGGGAAATAGGAAGTGGAAGTGACCAGCACAAACCCATATCATCCTGACAAATGACCCTCTTCCCTTCCGGGCAGCAACGTGCCAGCTCATTTGTAGTGTTTGCTGATTTCCATGGTGTAAATACTCCTGCTACGGCCAATTCCAAGCTACCAAGAGTTCTGACAAGCAGCTGAAAATGTCCTGCAAACCTAGCCATTTCTGGAAGGCTGGTGTTCCCCGGCACCAACACAGCACAACCACCTGGGTCTCCTCTACAGCCCTTCCCCCGCCTTCTGATGATTCCGCGTGAGAAGCGTCTTAGGTTTCCTGACCTGCCTGCAGTCAGCCTCACCTGCTCACCAGGAAGAAACAACAGGTCACCAAGTGAAGCTGCGTAGGATCCAGCCTTGGTTTGGGCTGGCCCAGGGCAAGGAACAAGTGGACTGGCTCCCTGGAGGCCATCACAGAAGCCTCAGCAGGAGCCTAGAGATTCCAGGCCAGGCGGGGACTGGAGGCGGTGGAGGGGTGTTTGTGGATGGGTTACTGCAATGGGTGCCATGTGGCCTGGCAGGCCTCTGGGGCGGAGTGACCCGGTGTGAGGATGAGGTGTCCCCCTGACTTGCAGGCTGCCCACAGCGAGCAGCTGCAGTGCATCCAGGTGGCTCCAGCAGGTGTGGCAGATGTGGGCATGTCCAGACCACCCAGCACAGCAGCCGTGCGGGCTGAGCACCCCTGGGCAGGACTCATCACAGAGCAGCCCTCTTGCTTTGAATGGCGGACAGTTGGACCATCTGATCCCTAAACAGGGCCCAGTGCTTGGAGCTGCTGCCCCATGGAGAGGGGTGTGCTGAGTGCCCAGGGGAAGCCCGAGGGGCTTCCCGTCCTCTGAGGGCACCATCCCAGCAGGCTGCCCTTCAAGCATGTCTGCGTGTGTTTGCAGGACGCCTGGCCCTCCACCTGGGCAGGAGCAGCCCCATGGCACAGAACTCACCTCTGGACCACCGTCTCCACCAGCATTCAGCTGGGGGCAGGGGTGCCCCGGGCACTGGACTGACCCTGAGAAGGGGAGCGCTGCCCTGCTGCCTCACCCCCACCCTCCTGAGGGGAGAGTGCCGCCCACTCTGGGTCCGGCGCACACGCAGGCCTGCAGGAGCTTGTACGTGGGGCCTCCTGAAGTAAAGAAACGGTTGTGGTGAGTGGGAGGGGGCTAGTGAGACTGAACCAGGGGAAGCTGCTTCCACAAGAGTTTATTTTTTGGAGTCCAGAACCCTGAGCCAGGCCAAAGCAGACCCTTAGGCCCCTTCTTGTCTGGGCACAAGATTTGAAAAGAAATCCTTGATCTTCTGGCCAATTCTCTCAATTTTCTGGCCAATCTTCTGCCCACCTTTCTGGAGGAGATTACCCAGCTTGCGAAATCTCTTGGTACGCAGGGGCTGTGCAGAAGGAAACATCTCCTTGTAGGGCTGGACTTGGGTCATGCTAGGACCCCTGACTCCCCTCTTCCTGGGCCACCCAGGGGACTTGGGGCCCCAGGCCCCCCTCTGGCTGTGATCCCTGGAGCCTGTGCTTGGACCCCTACAGCGACAAGGAGGGCCTCGAGGCCCAGAGATGGCCGGGGCTCCCAGGCACACAGCCAGCTTGAAGCCAGGCAGGGACTCACTACTGTGCCAGAGTCAGAATGCCCGGACCTGCTGAAGTGCAGTGTGGGCCCCACCCAGGGTCTGACTGAGCAGGCCGAGGAGGGCCTGAGAACATGCAGCCTGATGGGTTCCCCGGTGAGCACCGCTGTTGGGCTCATCCTGGAGGCCTGGGGCACAGAGTGAGGCTGGCCCCGGAGCTGGGGCTCTGCCCAGGGTGGGGCCCCTCACCTCATCACAGCTGATGTCGAAGTAGCCCTCGTCGGGGTCTAGGATGATTGTACCCAGGCACTGTTTCACCAGCTGGGAGGGGGACTCGAGGTCAGGCCGCAGCCAGCAGCCCATAAACCCCCACCCGCCCGGAGCCCCACCCTGACCTCTCGCCCAGCCCAGCCACTCACCCCGTTCTCCTTAAAGTCGCACTGCTCCGGCGGCTGCTGTGATGTGCGGGGACACACAGTCTCCTTCAGCGTGAAGCTCACAGGCTTCACAGCACCCTGGTCCTCATCCTGGTCAGGGGAGGATGTGGGGGTACTGGTCTCAGGCTCGCGTCCCATCCCCACCGAGGCCTGGCCCAGGGCTGGGAGCTGGCAGAGTGGGGGAGCTGCAGGTGGGGACGAATGGTGTGTGCCCTCCCTGTGCACAGAGCAGGAGCCCTAAGGAGAGCACCAGGGCCTGGGGGGTTGGGAAGGGCTGAGCAGAGCCCTTTGGTGGGGATGGGGGAGGACATGGGGTGCAGAGGAGACTCGAAGCAGGGAATTGCATTGGCAGCCAAGCTCCCCACTCTGTGCCTGGAGCTCCCAGAAGCCCCTGGAGCCCGGATGGTGGGTGGGGGCCCCTTTGCCTTAGTGGGTCTAAGGCAGGAAACTCTTGTGCTGGGACTCCCCCAGAAGAGGAGGTGGGGCCGCCCTCCCCACCCCGACTCACGTCCTTGGGCAGTGGATCCAGCTGGAGGAGGCGGTAGAGGTTGGGCTCTGAGGACTGCTGGTTGAAGCCCTCTACAGTGCGCAGCACGGCCTCCCTATAGCTGAAGGCCTGGGCTGTGGCCAGAGGGACCACCAGGCCCAGCAGCAGGAACAGCAGGGGCGGCCCCCGCCAGGAGGGGCTGTCCCTCTGGGTGCCCATGGTCCCCGAGCCTGCCTGACCCGGCCCGCGGGACCCGCCTTTATGCCCCGCCTGGTCCTGAAGCCGAGGCCCAGTGGGCCTCCCTGACCTGCCCCCTGGCCACCTGCCAGGGCGCGCTTGCCTCAGCCCCACTCTTGCCACAGGGCTTGCTGGGCTGCGGTGCCAATGTGCACATGAAAGGGCAGGAGGGTTTCCCCATCTCCCTGACAAGGTCCTGGGCCCCACTGGGCCAGGGGCTTGTACCCCAGGCTTGCCCAAGAGGGCGGGGTGCTCGGGAGGGGAGAGAGCCAGCACCCACACCCTCCCCAACGGCCCCCTCCAGAACCAGGGGGTCCGTTTGATGATGAGTCAGTGACCACCTCTCATCTGGAGCCTCACCAAACAGCAGTGCCCAGGGGCTTTCCAGGCCACACCAGCCTGGCCTCTGCACTTCAGCCAGTTCAGGGGCCCAGACCCAACTGTGGCCCAGCCCCGCATTCTTCTCCACTGCCTTTCTCAGTCTAAAGCTGCCCCAGCCCCCATGGGGCCTTGCCCCCGCTCCTCCCAGTGAGCCTGAGGGAGGGCTGTCCACACGAGCCGACCCCCTTCTTCTCTCCCACCCTCCAGGCCTCTGGCTGGTCAGCCCTCACTGGGCCCAGGGGCCACTCTCAAGCTGTCTTCATCTGTGCGGGCGCCAGTGCCCTCCCCTCCCGAAACTGCCCCCTGGACCGTCCCCTGGCTTCCCTCTTGCCCCCCTGGCGGCTCTCCCCCAGACCCCCCTCCTCCTGCGGAGGGCTTGCCTTCCCTGCCCAGGCCTGCTGTCTTCCCTGGCCTCGAGGTGTGGAGGGCCCCTGCACACGTCGGTGAGGGCCTCTGTCGGCAGCAGTCTAATCTCTCCAGGTGTTTGGCCTTGACCCAGCTGCTCTGGGTTACCCCTGAGTTATTTGGGCAGCTGTGGACCTTTGGGTTGGATGGATGGGCAACAGAGTCAGCCAGCTGATGGGCCTTCCCAGGTGGTGTCCCGCCCACCTGAGGGGGTTGCAGGCAAAGCGCCTCCCCCGGTCACCTGCCACCAGTGCCCAGTGCTGTGGCTGGACTGGCCCTTGTGGGTGTCACTGTGATGGCCTCAGCAACAGCCGTCAGGGAGCTTAGAAAACAGTCCTGTCACTTCCAGGGCCCAGGAATCGGCGTGCATGGGCCCACACCCCGAGGTCATGCGGCCCACCCTCGCACCTGAGTTACTGGGGTGCAGGGCGTGCAAGGCGCTCGGAGCCACGCGTGAGCCCAGGGCACAGGGGCCTCCCTCCTTGGCCTCTGCAGCAGGCCCGAGGCACCCACAAAGCCAGAGCTGGAGGGGCTGCAGTCTGAGGCCCAGGGCAGCTGACAGGGCTCCACAAAGGTGCCAGGAGGGAGAGCTCGGGGTGCCCCACAGCCACATGACTGTCAGTCCTCTGCCATCATCTTCTCCCCCCCCTTGACTGGGGGAAGGCCAAGGCGTGGAGCCGCAGAAGCTCCTCACCCAGGGTGCAGTCCTCGGCCTCTTTAGGATTATTGTCAAGGACAAATGCAACTTGGAAATTGTCTCCACAATATTAGTGAAAAGCTTTAGCCACTGGTGTGAACCTCAACTTGTTCTTCTGCCAGGAACGCGATCTGGATCCAGTTTTCTTTTATAAACTAACAAGGTTTGTGTTACTGTGCCTGACTCAAGGCTAAATTTGAGAATAAAAGCTGTAAGGTCTGCATGTCTGTGTATGTTTGTGTGTCTAATTTGTGTATTGTAGACATGTGATATTTTCCTACCTCCAAATGGTATTGACAAAATTAATATGTAAAAGAGTTCCTTTGATTGCCTTAAAAAAATAAGCATTTATGAATTACGTATTCCT